GAACCACTTTCTAGGGAGGAGATGAGCCCTGGTTTCGAAAGAGGGGCTATATATTTTTTAGGGAGAAGAGAGGATTTCTACCGCAGAGGTGCTAAATTTGAAAGAAAAATAGGAGAATTTGATGAAAGGGTTAGTGATCGCCGGAGGGAAGATCGTGACAACTGGGGAGCACCTCCTCTTCGCGGAATGGGAGGTTATGGAGGATTCAGGGGAAACGGGGGTGACCCAAAGGTGAGGAGCTGAAGATGCTCATTTATGAGAGCAAGGATGGCCATAGTTATATCTACAAGGTGGAACGATACTTCGCCGTCAACGGGGTTTATAGAGGAAGAAAAGCTGACGGCTGCAAACTATGTTTGAAGGGGAAGGCACTTGCATGTTACCAATGTCCAATGGCGAGACATGAGCCAACCCATCTGGAGCTGGAGGGAGTTCAAAGAATGCTTACTAGAATGTTTCCAAACCGGTGGGAGAGGAGGCTTCTATGAGCAATTCTTTGCCTTGACACAGAAGTGGACTGTGGCAGATTACCTTGACAGGTTCGAGTACTTGGCCAACAAATTAGACCGGCTCTTTGAGACTGAGCTAGAAGGAAATTTTATGAAGGGGCTTAAATCAGAGATACTGGTAGCGGTTAGAGCGATGAGGCCAAGAGACCTTGGGAAGGCCATGGAGCTAGCCCAGTTGCTGGAGGATTAGAAGCAACTGGAGAGAGGGCTAAGAAGAGCAACTCGGGGGGGGGGAGAAAAGGGGGGGAGGGGGGGGGGGGGGGGGGGTCGTACATGATGACCGCCACCTTCTTAGCTCCCAAGGGGCCAGCGCCAGGGAGTCTGAAGGAAGTGCCCAAGGAGAGAGCTAGAGGAGGGGGAAATGGGAGAAATTTCAAAAGGCTGGATGAGAAGGAGATACAAGAGAAGATGGCAAAAGGATTGTGTTTTAGAAGCGACGAGAAGTACATTTTAGGGCACAGGTGGGAGCGGATTAGGGATGGAGGAAGAGGAGAAGTTGCATCTGGATATGGCAGAAGTCTCCCTAAACTCAGTGGTGGGATTCACTCTGAATCATACTATGAAGGTGAATGGAGAGATAGCTGATAAAGAGGTGATAGTGCTTATAGATAGTGGGGCAACCCACAATTTCATCTCCACCTAAATTGTTGATCTGCTAGGGTGAAATTAGTGTATACAGGAGACTATGGGGTGATGATGGGTATAGGAAAGGTGGAAATGGATAGAGGAGTTTGTAGGAGAGTGGTGTTAACTATTCAGAGGATAAAGGTGATGGAGGATTTTCTTCCCTTGGAATCGGGAAGTATTAATGTCATTCTGGGGATGAAGTGGCTACAAACCTTGGGAGAGACCAAGGTCAATTGGGAGACACTGAATATGGAACTAGTAGTGGGGGGGAAGAAGATGGTGATTCGGGGTGATGCAGGGCTATCTAAGACTGGAGTATCTCCCAAGTCCCTGATCAGAACTATAGAGGAGGTGGGAGGATGATATTTGGTGGAGTTGCATCGCTTGGAGGGAGTCAGACTGGAGGAGGACGACATTCCCTCTTTAGTGCAGCCACTCATATAGCATTTCAACGAGGTTTTTTAACCTCCCCAAGGGCCACCACCACAAAGGGAGTTAGATCGTGCCATTACTTTGAAGGAAGGGGTGTCACTGATCAGTGTTCGTCCATACCGTTATCCTCATATTCAAAAGGATGAGATTGAGAAGTTGATCCGGGAGATGCTGGAGGCTAACATTATCAGGCCGAGTGTGAGTCCTTTCTCTAGTCCATTCCTACTGGTCAAGAAGAATGATGGGAGCTTGCGGTTCTGTGTAGACTACAAAACTTTAAATAAAAGGACAGTGCCATATAAGTTACCTATTCCTGTCATTGATGAGCTCTTAGATGAATTGTATGGGCTAGTCATGTTTTCCAAGCTGGATTTGAAATAAGGGTACCATCAGATCAGGATGAGAGAGGCAGACATTTCAAAGATAGCTTTCAAGACACATGAAGAGCATTATGAGTTTCTGGTAATGTCATTTGGGCTTACTAACGCCCTCACTACTTCGCAGTCTTTGATGAATATGGTGTTCAGGCAGTACCTCTGGAAGTTTGTTCTGGTGTTTTATGATGACATCCAGGTGTATAGTAAAACTGAGGAAGAGCATCTAGAGCACTTGAAGGTGGTTCTAGGAGTTTTACAGGAGCATCGGGTGAGGGCCAACCTAAAGAAGTGCAGATTCGCCCAGTCCAATGTGGATTATTTAGGACATGTAGTGTCCCAGGAGGGAGTGGCAGCTGATCAAACAAAATTGAGGCAATGTAGAAATGGCCTATGCCTAAGAACCTAAGGGAGTTGAGATGTTTCCTAGGACTAACTGGTGATAGTGACAACTGCATTCATCAGGGGTTGTTAAACTGCATGGGATTCCAGAGTCGATAGTGTATGATCGAGACAATGCTCCTCAACCAATTTTGGAGGGAGCTACTCAAGTTACAGGGCACTATTCTCAAGAGAAGTAATGCCTATCATCCTCAGATAGATGAGCAAATGGAGGTAGTAAACCGAAGTTTGGAGACTTACTTGAGGTGTTTTGCTTCTGAAACACCAAGGAGGTAGGCAAAATGGTTAGCATGAGCTGAGTATTAGTACAATACATTGTATCATTCTGCTTCTCAGATGACCCTCTTCAAAGTGTTGTATGGAAGGGACCCACACTTGGTGCACTTTGGGAAAGGGAGCACACCAATTTTCTCAGTAGATCAGTACTTGGAGGAAAGGGATAAAGTGTTGGAAGAGTTAAAGAAGCATCTGTTGAGGGCACAACAAATTATGAAGAAGCAGGTAGATACAAATAGGAGAGACATACAGTTTGAAGTGGGGGAGAAAGTGTTCTTAAAATTACGACCTTACAGGCAAAGGACAAAGGCCAACAGGAGGAATGAGAAATTAGTCCCAAGGTACTTTGTCCCTATGAATTTTGGACAAGATCGGAGCTGTGGCATACCGTTTGAAGTTACCACCATCCGTCGTCATACACCTAGTTTTCCATGTGTCTCAGTTGAGGAGAGCTCTAGGAGAGCATGCAGTTAGTGAGGAGTTGCCAGCTACACTGACAGAGAAGTTGGAAGTGATCTTAGAACCACTGGAGCTGAGAGGGATAAGATCCAATAAAGAGGGGAATAAAGAAGTGCTTATTAGATGGAGAGACCTGCCCGATTTTGATGCCTCTTGAGAACCTTATGAGAGGGTGAAAGATTAGTTCCCTTTATTTCACCTTTAGGACAATGTGAGTCTTTGGGAGGGGGGGTAATGTTATTAGGCCGACCCTAGGGCCAACTGAATCGGTCCAACCTAGACCGGTTCTTTGCTACAAGAGGGGGCAAAAACATGGGGAAGAGAGAGAGGGGCTGGTTAAAGGGAAGGAGCCTACGACTTAATTAAACTTGCTTTGGGAGGAAAATTTTGAATTAGGGGTTGTTTAGAGATTTTTTATTTGTCCTCTTTATTTTAATGATTTCCTTTGAGAGAATTAGGGTTTTCATCTTGAGTTTGAAATCAAATTTAAAATCTAGGGTTTGTTCCTTTAGGCTCTCGGCTTGGCTAGAGATTTGAAGAGTTGTTTCCTCCACTCAAATTGAAAAAACTTATATCATTTGTTGTTTTCCTGCATTAACTAGTGGAATTCTTCGTTTTTCTCTCAGTTTTCTCCATGTTCTCAAGAAGGTTGATGTATTGTTGTTGTTTTATGTTGTAATCAGCAGTTTTCTTGCTGTTTTTCACCAATCACTATTAGGTTTGCTTGCGATCTCAAGTATTTCCCTTAAGGTTACTTGCGAACTCAAGTATTTCCTATCACAAAAGCAAGAAAAACCGAGAAAACAAGAGTGAGAAAAATAAAAAGACCCAAATGCAAAAGCTATGTATTGATCATGACCAAGCCTTTACTTCACATTCACATGAACTAGAGAGTAGAGACAACCTTTTTTTATGCTTTCGAGCAAACCAACAAGGCAATGAAGCAATAGAATCGATGAGGCACATGTTGAGATCTTAAAGCATGCCCACCCATATTCAAGGATGTTATGTTTCGTCATGCAAAGTATTCCGACCAGCACGATTTGTGCTACCAACTTGCGTCGCAACAAAGCGAGGCACTATATCTCTGCACCACAGTGATTTGTTTCAAAGTGCACCCTTGGCAAAACTACATGCATGCATGAGTCAATGAGTGAATGTTCTGCAAAAAGAATGGAATAAAAGGAGACCTGAGTAGAAAGGTGATATGAACGAAGTAGAAAAATGGTACTGTATTTTGGTCAAAATCCTTAACAAAATATATTTGTTCATTAATTTATAGCCTAGGGCCTAGAATATAATGCATAACAACAATCCAATTGATGAGGTCTTTCCTTTTCTTTTAAGTATTATTTGATCAACATTCACCTATACCTAATGTTTCCCCCATCATTTAATTAAACAAAGCATTAAAGAATGATTGGCATCATCAACATTCAAAGCAGAACAATCTAGAAAAATGCTAGAGAAGTGGGCTAAAAGAGGCAAATTGAATGGTAGAGAAGAAAGAAAATGCACTAGGAAAGTGGAGGGAGGGGGGAAGAGTGAGAGAACACAAACAAAGAGGGAAAGGAAAAAGTAAGAGAAAATGAAAGGAGGAGAGAGAGAGAGAGACTTATTAGTATATTTGTAAAAACTAAACATAAATGCTATCAAATAACATCATAAACAGACAAAACTCCCCAGCACCGTCAAACATATAAAAATTAAGTAAAACCAAAATAATATTTCATGTTTTTCAAAGAAGAAAGAGCACTTATTCTTCTGACATTTGAACAGAAACTGATTTTTCACTGACTAATAGGGTCTTATTTCTGAGTGGATAGATCTCATCTCTTGATTTCTAAATACAATCAATGGCATACACATGAACAACTAGCAATTTTAGTACATAAAGTCATTCTGCAGAAGGGCTCATTACCTTGAACCAGACGGGGGTTGCTAAGAGTAGATGGCATTGAAATATTTGCTCGTGAGACATTATTGCTGATGTAACTTTCTGAACTATTTGTTTCATTATTATTAACAGTATTAGAAGGCCACGCTGCAAGTGTGGCTCTTTGACACAAAGGAAGTAAGGCTTGTTTCCTGTATTGTTGGCAAAAAATCTGATAGTTATGATGGGGGAATAAATTAGAGAAGAGAAAAAGAAATAATAACCACTCACATCTGAATAGATGTTCAAGTGAAATTTCAAACGTTTAAATTTCCCAGGTTTCAAATTAAGGAGAAAAATAATCCATTTCGCATGGATCAAGGAGTTACCATAGAATCCATTCCACATGGATCCAAGAGTTGCTATAGAGTATAGGAATAAAAGGGAAAAGCGATATCCAACAAAATATCAAAAACTAAAAGAGTACAAAATTTACATGTTTACAGAAAATTATAAGCCATAAAGTTGGACAGGTTAACATTCTTCAAAGATGCATGCATCAACTAGTTGACACTATAAGAGAAGGCTGTTAAAATTAAACATAGCTTGTTGGGAAAGCTATAATATCATCAACATTTTACAGCAACAGGTAAAAGAAAAAAATTGGATGATAGCAAATTGCTCTCCGTTACATAGTGCATGATACCATTATGGGTTCACTTGAATAATACCATGATGAATGGAAAAAAAAAACAAAAAATAAAGTGTAGAAGAGCTAATATATGGCATCGGAATCCTACTACAACTAGGTGAAGCTTATACATACCTTTTGCCTCTAGGTGGCTTGTTTACTTCATTAACAAGCCTTTGACGTGCTGCATCTAAATCCTCAACCATCCCTCCAAGAACCTCCACAACTTCAGGAAGAAGTAAAAGAAGACCCCTTCGAATTTGTACATTTCGTATGATAATCTACGGTGTCGCAAGTTCAATACAACTTCACATACTCATTTAAGCAATGCAAAATTTAAACAAAATACAAAACAAGAAAAGGAAGAATCATAGAAGAGTAAGATAAAAACAGAAATGTTGGTTCCTGACAATTTTATCTTATACATGGAAAAAGCTGAAGGTAATTCTTATCCTATTTATAAAAGCCTTAAGCAACCCCTTTGCTCTAAAAAGTGCTTTAAAAAATCAGCTGTAAAAAAGTAAATTAAGGTGAGCTCATTGATAAATGGTGTAACAAAAAAAGAAACAGAAGGGATGCAAATCTCAAAAGTTATACTCATAGAAAGCACAAAACATAAGCACTGAAATGCGTGGATTGACATTCTAAGTCTTGATGATTTCTTTTGTTTGTGTTATTTCATTTTAATACTTGCTCCCTTTAGAGGTATAATTTTTTTCTTGATAAACATATAAATGACAACCTCTATAGAGAACCAGCTGTGTTTTCCTCCTTGATTTGGTTTGGTTCATTATTTTGGTTGTACGAAGGCTCAGTTCACTGTTGGATGGGGGATTTGCATGGGTTCTGCTACTAACTGGATCTCCATGACTAGTGATTTCGTACATGACTTGTGATTTCCATTTTGCTACCACGAGTTGTGATATTCATGTACTATAAAATTATAATTTGTAGTCCCTTATGGCTGGACTTGCCACCTATTGTTGTCGTGGCCTTCGATGATTTCTACAAGCCATGACTTCTCGATGGGGTATACAATGCCAAGCAATCTTATTTTCTGATCTCGAAAAGATTTGTGATATGAGGTCGAACTTGAGGCATATAAAAATAGGCTCATTGATATTCTGTAATGAGTTTATAATGATTTCCTATTTTATTGACTCCTATGATTTCCTCAGATGTGATTCCTTCTAGCATCTTGCAACAGAGTTATTGGAGACTACAAATTTTTATGTTTAAATATCTCCATGTACCGTTTATAAAGTATTTTCAAATTAAAAAATCTAATTTTTTTTTCTAATTATAATGTGAGTTCCTAATAAAGTGTGATTCTTTCATGGTCTTTAATTTCTCGGTGTGATTCTATCAAACAATGATTAAATTATCACGCATTCAAATTTTAACCTATTTTGGTTTTCATCCAAAGGGACAATCAATTGTCTAAATTAAAAGTTTATAAACAGTGATTTAACCTTATATGCTTGACTTTGAGCATTTCATCTTAAATTTAAATATGGAAAACCTAGATCAGACAACTTGCATCAAACTTGATATCAAAGCTTAAGTTTGCATCATCATATCAACTAAAACCAAGTCATAGTACCGGAGAAAATAAATAATACAACACAAGATGCAATTCAAATGAAATCGGTTAAGTTATGGTTCTAAACAACTTCACATAATTACTACATAAGACGAAATGGTATTACTATAATAATAATAATGGAAGTAAAATCTTTAGAAATTTTCAAATTGAATTAATAACTAAAAAAATTTTACTTATATTATAATGTGAGTGATCCCTAAATATTTGAATTTATTCAAACAAAATTATTAGGATATGCTTAATATTAGTGGTCAATTGTTGCTACTGAATAAATCTGGGCTAATATAAAGAAAAATGAATAGAATAATATCATCCAATGAATATAAAAGCTAAGTATATAAGCAATCTAAGAATTGTAAACAATGTGATTACAGTATGATTGAATATTATGTGAGGTTTAAAATCTTGTAGCAATAATATTCATTATAGTGTACTATACTATCATTATATATTTCATTAAAGATATAAAGGAAGAAATATAGGATGAGTTAAGCTAAAATTCACCAAAAATGCAACATGATCTTTTAAACAAAACTTGAGACAATGAGGAATATTACAACTATTTTGTTATTAGAAATACGTCACCTAAGATTAATATGTACATTATCCAACATGTGAAAGCATTCCGTATACGTTATAAGCATACATCTAACACGCATATGCATTATTCAAACGATATGCATGTGAATCATAAATGGTTGAATTAGATCATATTTAAGAAAACAAAATTCATGAATATTCTTTTCAAAATGAATTAGATAAAATAGATTTCTAGTTCCGATATAATTCTACATTTAATTTTGTTAAATCTATATATAACTCTCTACATTAGAATGTATTATCGAACAACAACAACAACAATAAGTCTTTATCCCACTACATGGAGTCAGCTATATGAATCATTTTTCTCTATTGTGTCCAATTAAGAGTTTACTTCTAAAACGTATTATTGAAAATGCAACTAATATTAAGCAAGAGAGAGAATTTGTGTGTACTATCAAATTTGAGCATGACAAAATGTGTACATCTAAATTTCTAATGTACATTAAATATTTTCCTAATAGTGAACCAACGTATACCATGCCTACTAAAGTTAATAAATTAATTAAAGAATCTGATGAATTAACTCAAAATAAAGTTCAGAAAATTAGCTATAAAAACCAAAAAATTTATTAATGATGACAACCTTAAAGAAAACTTGAAATTAAAAACTCTATCTACTCAAACATGAAAGTGCATAATTCATCACAACTAACATTAAGCCATTAAGGCTAATTTTCTTTAAAGTGCTTATAACATCCATATAAATTATCATATTTGTATGGTTTGTTAAATTTTTTATATTTCTTCAACACTGAAGTCACACCTACAAGTCATCCCTAAAGTCACATAGATGCACACACACAAGCCAGTCAAGAATGAAATTATCAATTTTAACCATATTCGAGGGCCTTCAAATTGATTTTGAGCTTATTCGAGGGTCTTCACATTGATTCGAGCTTGATCGAGAGCTTCTTATTTTTAAAACTAAGTTTCTAAATTTAAATTAAAATAATGTGCATTTCTATATTGTGGGCTCCGAAAATTCGGCCCCGGCCTCCGCTCGCTTTTCTGTTTATTCGGCGAGGGGAGTTTTAACGGAATAAGTTCCGGGGTAAATTTTGGAAGGCAGATGGGTTCGTAGATAAGACACTACCCAAAGATTTCGCCCTCATTTTGCGATGACTTCATGATCTGAGTTCTGCTTTCCTATAGGCGCAAGCTCCTATAGTTAATTACCCCTCCCAATAAAGAGAGAACTTTCGATTAAGGCTAGTCGTCGATCAGAATTCAGATACGTAGAGTATACGTGTTAGCTGGCATATAATAGCAACAATGGGTTTGGGATTTGGAAAGTTTGGATATTTGGATGGAGTTGATATTTAAAACAGAAATTGCACCATCTTGCACTTAAAGCGGATGGTGGGGAGAACTTTCGATTAAGGCTAGTCGTCGATCAGAATTCAGATACGTAGAGTATACGTGTTAGCTGGCATATAATAGCAACAATGGGTTTGGGATTTGGAAAGTTTGGATATTTGGATGGAGTTGATATTTAAAACAGAAATTGCACCATCTTGCACTTAAAGCGGATGGTGGGGTAATGGATGATAGAGCCAATCAAGATCCCATGGTTCCGTCGTCCCGGGCCATCGTGGT